TTTCTTGAAAAAATAAGCAGGGGTGAATTCACGGAAAATCTGTTTACTCTGGGGGATGGAGAGTTTGTTCAAACTCGATTCTTTTTTGCAAGAGGTACTCAATAAACAGAGGGGTATACTTGTTTTGTTGTAAAATGGGTAAGAAAGTTTAGAGCAAAACCATACAATTTTTTTGGGAATTAAAATATCGATATATTAACTTGAACATTTTGAATACAATTTTATTTTATAAGGTACTCAAAAACCAGAGGGCTATACGTGGTGTAAAATGAGTAACAAATTTAAAAGCAAAGCAATATAACTCTTTTTGGGTAGCGAAATATCGATTTATTGACTTACAAATTTGTTTTACAATTTTATTTTTTTAATTATTACCAACAATTTGGTATTATACATTTCCTTTCAAAGGAATATATAGAATTTAAAAAAAAAACATAAGGACCTAAAAGTTAATTATTTAATTAACACTGTATTTTATTGGTAATTAAATAAATAATATAACTAATAGTTAAAAAACAAGAACAGGGTATTTTTTCTCCGTTATCTTACCAAACAGCGTCTGTATTTATTTTTTCTTACACTCTCCTCACATTAGACATTAGAGAATTTGTTGCCCTTGCCCATCCGCTGGCGTTTCCTGCTGTGAATTTGGCTAAATTGCATTGCCACGACAACTGCGTCTGAGGCTGAGTCTGAGGCTTGTTGCTTGGGCGAATCAGAAATTGTGGCAGCCACCCCGCAGCCGAGACCGCAGAAGAGCCGCACAAGTGCCGCTTGACTCGGACTGTTTTCGGGGAATGGGATTGGATGGGAATCACTCCTCCTTCACGCCCAATTGATGCGGTCTTAACGCCTGACTAGAGGCCAGAAATCTGGCAGAGGGTTTAGGTCGCAATCCTTACCTCCCTCAAAAAGGCCGAGGTTGACTCAAAAAAAAATATAGAAGAAAAGGTTTCGGTTTCGCACGGAACGCCTTCATCCTGGCTCTCTGACATGGGGCGTTTCCAGACAGAAAATGGCGGAAGATGCGAACGCCCCATCGTTTTTAGATAATCCAATTTGGGGGCCACCCGGAAAGTCAGCTCCAAGAGGGGGATCGATGCGATTTTGAACAGCATTGATCGGCTTCCAATTTAAATCAACCCTACATTGTATCAAACTTTAAAAATATTTCAAAATATTTCAAGGAAAATGATGTATTGTTTAGCATTTAGCGCAATGCATACAATTATTGTTTAATTATGAACTGCTTATGGATGCTAGAAACACATACATATTTCTTAATCCAGCAGCTTCAATTATAACTTTAAGGAAATACCGAGTTTAAAATATCCCAATGTTATAAACATGACAATAAGATAAACCAGTATATTTATCTAGAACTTCAAGCTTGCCAGCATTTTAAGTACAGATTAAATATAATTTAATTGCATTTTGCTTGCAATCAAATCAACGCACTCACCACAAATGTTTATTCATTGATTCAAGTTTAGTTTAAGACGTATTCAAAAGAATATTAACTTAATCTTTCCCCTGATGTCTTCTAGTTTATGAGAGGCTAAAACTTGAGCTCCAGAAAACCATACCACCATTAAGAAACTATTTTTACTATTGATTAAATTCGCTGCACGTCTAAGACATCAAATGCAGTGAGAGCCATGGCTTTTGGGGCCTATTCGAGGAATCCGCCAAGACAAGCAATCGCTAAGCCGCATAATTATATATAGAATACATAAATGCAGATGCACAAACTGCAAACGCGTGTGTGTTTCTGATATTCCACATAGACATATAGACATGTAGACTGTGCGCCCGCATCAGGCGAAGCGCAGCTCAACTCCACGCAACTCAACTAATGGACCATTCGTGGCACTTGGTTATTGACGTTGGACTCGAATTGTATTAACAATGCATGCAGCAAGTGCACCAGCATGAAAAGGTGGGCGGCAAGGGGGCGTGGTGTGGGGGGCGGACGGTGGGTCAAGCAGCAAGCGGTAACGGTTCGCTTTGATGCCAAAATCGAAGCGTGGTCAACTTCATTTCGCTTAATTTCGTGTTCAGGCTCACAAATGAGGTACAGTACAAAATACTTAACAGAAACTTAAATTCCAAAAAAAAAGTATTTATTTTAGATGCATTGTTTTAAAAGACAAATAGACCTAAACCCAAGCATTCCAGTTATAGAAGATTATTAAGATTTAAAAGATTTACCAAATGTTTTAAAACATATTTAATATTTAGACATTTTAAGGACATAATAAAGTCATTTTTTATATTAAGACATTGATTTTTGTAGCTATAGCAAATTAAATTAATAAATAATTTTGATAAACATTGGTTTTAAAATGTTAGCTACTTTGATTTATAAATGAAATATGATTTTAAACATGCATCTTGTTTTTTATTGGCTAAGGTACGACAATGAAGCAACTGGTAATTTCAATTAACATGTGCTTAACATGGACTTAAAAAATTAAATGTAAGAGTTATGAAAGTTTAATAATTGGAGGTTTGACTGTAAACAGAGGGGGTGGTGTAGGGGGCAATACGCGATGCGTGTCCGCTAATCCGCTGGATATGGGATCGGGAATCGGTGGGCGGTGGCTGATGGATGGTGGGTGGTGGGTGGTGGGCAGTGTTCAGTGGGTGGCAGCCAACTCCCTGTGCCAGCAACCCCCCCGCAACCCCCTTTCGATGCATGCCACTCAGCTATGACATTTTGGCAGCGTCGAGTGCACCAAGACTGTCAAATGAGTTGTAATGAAATCTCACTCAGGACTCTGGCCATATATGTACCTCTACCTCTGTGTTTGTGTGCGTGTGTGTGTGTGTGGGTGTGTGTGGAGTCCAGTCAGCTTTGGTCAGCTGCACATATAATAAATAAATTATTTGGCATTTGGCGTGGCGTATTATTGAAGGCAACTGCAGCTGGATGGCCGCACAAACACACAAACTTCCGCACGGGCACACACAGTCGCACAGCAGCGCCATCTGTCGGCCGCGTTTTGAGACAGATTTGGGCATTAGCGTGATTAGTCTCAATAGTCGCTAGTATTTAGCAACAACAGCCTCGTAATCATAGGGCAAAACTTAAACTTGGCAAAGGGAAGATCAGCAAACTATATAAATTATAGCTTTTACAGGTAAGTTATTAACTAGAAACTTACCTTAGTCAAACCAGTTTTGTTTAAAGGTTAAATAAATTGTAAAAATTCTCCATATTTTACAATATTTTAAAAATTGTCTGCAAAATGTTTCAAATTTATAAAAATTTTTGTTTAATATAACAATTTATTCTTTCAATTTATAATATCCAAAAACTATGAAAACATTTGTAAGTTTCTTTTTTGCTTTATTTTATTCATGAACAACTTCGAATGTCAATATAAAGTTAATAAATCGTGTTCAATTTTGTACATGAGAACGGATATAAACGGTTAAAGAATTAATAGTGCTGATGGATTAGTCATCCTCCCCAAATAAAGCAATTTTACATGGCGAAAAAGAAAAACTTGTGAATAATATATAATTTGCGGCGTAATGAGCTAAAAGTAAATCCATCCATTGCATGTTTGGGGCCCATAAAAGTAGGCAACGATTTCTGAGAACATCGCCTAGCATTGTCTAGCCTGTGGAGGAACTGCAAAAGGGGAAGGGGAATGGGTAGTGTAAGGACGAAGAAAGGACGAAGTGGAGAGGAGCGCTCTCAGTCAGTCACATGGCAAAAAGTTACAAGTAATACTTAACGCTAAATGGGCACAAGTGCCCACCTGAGCCAGTACCACTTCAGTCCGACGATGGGTGTGTGTTTTTTAGATTTTTTTCTACACTCCTCGTGCATGGAAATTTTTGTAATGAAGTTATCGACAAGGTGGATCCGAATCCAGCCACTAACATATGTAGAACAATATGCAAATGTTACTTTGTTATGCAATTAGTGAATTCGATGCAAGCCACTCGACGGTCGGCAAACAGACAACCGCAGCAAACGACAGCCAAGTCGCCACTCGAAGGTTCAGTCAGCCAGTTAAATGTATCGTTGACGTTGCAATTTGAATTAGAACATCGATGCATAAAAGCCACTACAGTTTGAACAGACGATTTCCCTCTTATAACATAAGATACTAGACTAGGAGGAGACCCGAAAGTATTGAGTTTAGGTGAGTTCTAAGCTTGAGAAAAGTATTAAAAAAGATTTGTTGCTTACGCTGGTGTCTTACAGCTAAAATTCATTTTTTCCCACTAATGATGTTCATACATTTGTCTATACAAACTTGAGTTCATCAACCAATAATCTATAATTTATTATTCTACTCTTGTGAATAACTCTTAATTTTTTCAATTTTCTACAAATATTAACTAAATGTCTCTAAAACACAAAATGTCAAACATAACATATATATTATTAAAAGAATTTTACTTATTGAGTATGCTAAAAATAATAATATTTTTAAAGTAACCATAAAAGCTCATCCTTTTTAAATTCATTAAGCTCACATTCTTTATTCAATTAAAATACCTCCTAAAACAGATTTAACATATTAATATTTTTAAAAAAAATACTAAAGCTCGTCTTATTTCAATTTATTGTATAATTTTTCTTTATGAAACCTTTTTAAATAAATAAAAAAATTTTATTATTAACCCATAATCAAAGTCAGCGACATTTTTCTTACAAAAAGACCCCCAGAAATTGAAAAACCCTTTTATTACCCATGAATATCAAAGTAGAAAAAATGAAATTAAACGAAAATAGGTCGATTTTGCATGTCAATCAAATGGCAAAAGGTGGGCGGAAATGGAATTGGGAATGGGAATGAAAATGGTAATGGTAATGGGAATGGGAACTCGAAACAAGACGAGACGAGACAAGAGCAGACGGCGCATCGAGCGCTAACCAAAGCGAGTCACACAATTAATTGAAGCAGCACTTGGCCAGCTAAGCTCCTCGTTCCTCTCACTTAACTGATTCTAGAATTTCTTTTGTCTGCATTCCGCAGGCCAAGATGATGGAGAACTCGCATGCCTGGATGGGCGCCACTGGGTCCACGCTGGCAGGTTTGTAGAGGAGCCATTGCGAACTCGAGCTCGAAACCATCTGATCGTGGGCCTTTTCGTGTGATTGAACTTTCAGCAGACAGCTACCAGTACCAGCTGCAGTCGATGTGGCAGAAGTGCTGGAACACCAACCAGAACCTGATGCACCACATGCGCTTCCGGGAACGGGGTCCGCTGAAGTCCTGGCGACCCGAGACCATGGCCGAGGCCATATTCAGTGTGCTGAAGGAGGGCTTATCCCTGTCGCAGGCTGCCCGCAAATACGACATCCCGTATCCCACGTTCGTGCTGTATGCCAATCGGGTGCACAACATGCTGGGACCCTCCATCGACGGTGGGCCCGATCTGCGGCCCAAGGGGCGTGGCAGGCCGCAGAGGATTCTGCTGGGCATCTGGCCGGATGAGCACATCAAGGGCGTCATCAAGACGGTGGTTTTCCGCGACACCAAGGACATTAAGGACGACAGCCTGGCCGCTCACATGCCGCCCTACGGTCGACATTCGGTAGGTAATTACAGCAGTACATCTCGCTGAGCTTTCAACATAAATCGGCATTGAACTGGATTCTCGAGCACCGCGCTGAAATCATTTCACTTTAAATTCAACATAAAATTAAGTTATATTAAATTAAAGAGTTAATTTGTAATGTTATGTAGCTTACACATAAGCTATTCTTTTAGTAATTTAAATAGCCAACCCAAAATTGCTTATTATATTATTATTATTAATTGTCAACATACTTTTGCAATACTTCTTTAAACAAAATCTAAATCGCAGCATTGGTCTTACAATAACTTGTATGTAAATTTGTTTATTAATATTTACTTTTTTGACTTTTTATATTAACCTTCTTTGCAAATTGTTACTCACATGAAAAAACTAAAAATTGACTTTAAATTAAAGGTTGTAGAGATCCAAAATATAATTAGTTTCATATTATATCATTGTATTGAACTTCCATTGAACTTCTTTAAACTTCTTTGAAGTCAAAGGATTTTTTTTATAAAAATAAATGTCTTTTCTTATTTTTCCCTGCCTTACAATACAAGTGAGGCTTTAAAATACATACACATATATTATTTACATTTTTGAATTTAATTAAATGACTGTTTTCTCAAAACTTATCAAGTTATTGCATTTAAACAAAACATTTGTGCTTGATATGGGACTCACTTATTATTTTAAATGTTTAATTGGTGTTATTGATAAATTCTAAATTTATTTATATAGTTTAAGTGGCCCGACGGCTTTGCGAGGTGTACTGTGACTGGGGGTGCGAGTCCTTGAACTGAACTAACTGCTCTCGGGTTAGCCCGCGTTTCCCTTGCAGGACCTGCCGCTGAGCTATCCCGGCGCAAGTGGCGCCCTGGCAGGAGCGCCCAGTTCCCTGGCCTGTCCAAATGGCAGCGGTCCGCAGGCGGGAGTGGGCGTGGGCGTGGGCGGTGAGCAGCACATGTCGCAGGAAACAGCCGCTGCGGTGGCCGCCGTGGCCCACAACATCCGGCAGCAGATGCAGATGGCAGCGGCCGTCCAGCATCAAGGATCTCAGCATCAGCCGGTGCCGCCGGGCCTATTTAACCTGCCGCCCCACCCGGGCGTGGGCGGTGGCGTGGGCGTGCCGGGGGCGGGCGGAGGCAGGGCAAGCATCTCGCCGGCCTTGAGCAGCGGCTCCGGGCCCAGGCACGCCCCGTCGCCCTGCGGTCCACTCGTCCCGAATCTGCCGCCCAGCATGGCCATCGCCTTGCACCACCAACAGCAGCAGCATCAGCACGGGGTAAGTGGGGTGGTGGGGAATCCTAGTGTTATCTTTAAATAATAGTCATATTTTAAAAATCAGGAAATAATTAATACTTTTTTATTTCAATTTCTGAAAAATGATAATATTGTTTTAGTGGAATTTTGCCTCAGGAGGCGTTTTGTAGTCCTGTTCAATAATATCGTCAAATTGCACAGATACAAAATAAATTTTATTTTGAGAAAATAAGTACAAATTATGAATAATTATTATTTTTGAGTTTTGTCCATTTGACAAACCAAAATCATTAAATTAATTTTTCTTGAGTTACTCAATATTAACGTTTACTTTTTTAATAAAAATGTTATATGTATACATATATATAATATAGCTATAAAATTAAGAAATTAAAAGCTTTTCGGAAACATACCAATTTACCAAAATAATTTTTATTTTTTATTTGTCGAATTAAAGGAATTGATTTTTTGATTTTAAAAGGCTGTATTTTGAGGAGATACAAAAAAATGGATTTCTTATTGGAAGTGTTGTATGTTGAAGTCGTCCATCTTTATGATTAAACCACATTATTAGACTTGGTCAAGGAATTTGCGGTGGAGTTTACATTGTAGAAATTTAATAAATTTTTTTTTATTACTCACAAGCAAATTTGTATTCCTTGCTGTAAAGCTAATGATTAAAATTTTCTTGAAATTTCTGGAAAACAATTAAAAAACAATTCCACTGCTGACCTTTCTCCTCTCTCCTGACCTCCTCTCCTTTTGCTTAAATCTTTGCAGGAGCGTAGACCTTGTGGCTGTCCCTTTGGTCCTTGGCCATGCCCCCATCATCACCATCAGCAGCAGCATCAGCAGCAGCAGCAGCAGCATCACCACCAGGTGGGCGGTGGCCTGCCGCACAAGTCCGGTTTCGGTGCCAGTTCCAGTTCCTCCGCCTCCTCCGCGATGGGTCAGCACCCGCCCAAGGCCAAAGGCAGTCCGCTGCGCAGCGAAACACCCCGACTGCACTCACCGCTGGGCGATCTTGGCCTGGACATGGCCGGCTACAAGCGGGAGTTCTCGCCCAGTCGCCTCTTCGCCGAGGATCTGGCCGAGCTGGTGGGCGCCAGTGTCTCATCATCCTCGTCCTCGGCGGCAGCGACATCGGCATCGGCTCCGCCAGAAAGATCGGGAGGAGGTGGATCGGCGGCGGCGGGAACAGATGCGCCCAGCTCCTCGAGTGGCGGTGGCATCAAAGTGGAACCCATTACCACCACTAGCGAGTAATGAATTGATAATGAGTGAACTAAAATCTGAAGCTCCAGCAGCTTTACTCTACACATGTGCACCTATACCTTGGTTAGTTAACTACATTTTGGTTAAAATCTTATTTTTAAATAGAGAACAACTTTTGCTTCAAATGCTTTTAAGTTTAACTTGATTTAACACAATATATCAAACTATTTAAGCAACAAGTTTTAGCAATAAAATTATTCTCTATAACAAGATCAAATCTCATTATACATAATATATTCATGAGTTTTTTTTAACTTTATGAAAAATCAAATCCGCATTTTCCATTTGTAAATAAACTGAATGTAAACTATAAATACATTTTAAAGGTTTCTCCTAATCTTGGCTATTTGTTAAAAAAAAAATGCAAATCAACAAATTTCCATACCTATATCCAACCGAATTTAAACATAAGCTTTACATACTATTATTTTTTTATTTAAAAATGTAAGACTAGCCCAAGGTATGTGTATACATGTGCCAGTTTTCCTCTAGTTTCTACCTAGTTTCTATTCCTAGCGTACTTATTGAATCAAAATTTGAAAGTATTATTATGTTATAGTGCAGCAGTCTAACTAAATAAATAGCGATCGATCTCTTTAGTTGTAAGTTACAGCGGAGGTGGAAAGAGAAAACCCGTAACATTCCAAAAACCATCCGACAGATAATGAAAAATAAATTTGAACCGGAACAGAGACCGATACCAGCAGCACATTAATTAAATGTAAAAGAAATCAAAAGAGTTAAGGCGATTTAACTTGGCAATTGTGTGGCCGAATTTTGTTTAGTCTATAATTTATAAGAAGCGAAAAGGAAAATGTACAAAATTACTAAAAAGAAAAAAAAAAGAAATCGAAGCACTTGGAACGGCTTCAAACGCAAATGGAATCAACTAAATTTAATGTTTAGGCTTAACGAAAAAAAAAGAAATTCACAAAAAATGCCTTTCGGAATTAAATTCAGCGATGAACACACCGCAAACAAAATTTGTAAAAAGAATGAATCAATTAAAACTAAAAACAAGTGAACTTTTTTAAACGTATTTATACAAGCGAAATTTTTAGACAAAATTTAGGATCAAAATTTTTTTATAACGACTACTGCTGCGATCCGGTCGAACTTGTGGCCCCTGATTTAAGATTATTGGCTCCCCAACGTATACCCCGAGTATTAACCCCTCTATGCCCCCACTCATCCCCTTCTAAAGTGCCTTTTCTAGCCTTAATTTGGACTCTGCTCCACTTCTGTCCCGGCCCAAAAGTCGGTCCACGGATACGCAGCAGGATTCGTTGGTTTATTTGACAAGTCTGGCGATATTATAAGTATTTATATTCTAAAAAAAACATATTTACTTTGGTTGACCCCTTTAGGCATACCTTTCGGCACTCGGTTTTCTTTTCTGGCAAGCACACAATTGATTAATCGGACAAGAGTTAATTACGATAATGGATAAACACAACTATTTTTGCATACGCAAGAACATCTACCATAGCCATAGCCCGTATATATACACACACGATATATAAGCATCTATGTAATCCCCAGTCCCCCCATAGACTTTGATGTTCCACACGTACACGTATCGAAATCTTAACGAGTTACTTTCGGAATAGGATGTAAATGTAAACAGTGGCAAGAGTTAGCAGTTAAAAGTCTCCTGGATATGTGTATCTTTGTACGATCTGGACCAGCGCGTCCAAGTTCAGGTCCAAAACTCAACATTTTCTATCAACTTTAGTGCAAACTTTATGTTCAAATTAACTTTAAATGTCGAAATGAATGTTCTAATTAATCCAAGAAAACAAAAAAAAAACGAAAAATGGAAAACGGAAAATCGAAACGAACAAAAGTATTTTATAAAAACATTGAAAAGTAACCCAACCCAGCAAGTCTTCTCATTGCCTACCAATATATGCATTTGGAATGCAGTTTTGGCTTAGTGTTTATTGGGGTACATCGTGGTGGATACTGGATAGCGACTCTGGATCTCAGAGCACAAGGGGCACGGACTCGGCCGGTGGCTGGTTGATCTCCTGGTGGCGCTGGAGCAGACCCAAACACTGGTGCAGGCACTGGGTGCTGGCCGTCGAGATTGCCTTGAGCAGGAGAAGATCGGGATCCGTGGGCGAGAAGGAAGCACAGTCGATGCTCTCGATGGCCCTGGCCAGAGAAGCATTGCTGCAAAGGATTGCCGGAAATGGCATTCAAAATATCTCATTAAAAATGTCATTAAATTAGTAATTGGTTTTAGTCTGTAAAGAAATAAGTAAAAGAGTCAATTTCTTTACAAATATTTAATTTTCTTTGCAGACTAAAACATTTAATTGGATTATAATAAATAAAATTCAAATCCTATTTAAACTGAATTGACTCTTGAATGACAGGGCCTTAATTTTTACAAATTCAGTATGAAAATCAATTGCGCCATATAAAATAAAATATAATTTGCTGAATCCAGGCAAGATCAGTAGTTTCACAAGACTTCTTACCTTGAAAGTGTAAAGTGTCAATTGTTTTTCCTGATTGACAAAAACAAGTCATTTGATTAGATAAAGTAAAGTTCAAAAAAAAATATTAATTTTTGACATTAAGCATTAAGCATTTTACAGCATACTCTTTACAGTACGGAAATCAATTACATTATATACAATTTGATATTACTTTATATGATCTATTTGATTTTCGCTCCTTTCTTTATTCCGTCAACATCAGTTGTGAATTATAGTGAATTACTAAAACAACAAGTTTGATTATTGTAGTTCACATAAAAATCCTAATTTAATTGAATCTAACATTTAATTTTACAAAATATTGAAGTAATATTCAGTATGAACACTACATCATATACAATTTAGTATATTTTATTATGGAGCAGAATCACTCAAATGGTTTCTATCTATGAAATTACAAAATGCCAATCCTTTTTTTCCTGATTGACAAAAACAAGTCATTTGATTACTGTAGATAGAATACAAATCCTATTTAAACTGGAATTCACTATTGGCTATTTAGAATGCCAATCAATTAAGTTGTATACAAGTACATCACTGCAGCCTTCTGGATTCAGTAAAAAAAGTAGTCCTGTCTCATGACTTCTAACTCCGAAAGAATAAACCAATTGTTTCGCCCTCTTCAAGAAGCTCTTAACTAATGTGTAAATACCATTGTTCCGTGAGAAACAGGGCTTGACGAGCGGACACCATGGCATCGGAGGCGGCCAGCAGTTCGCGCGGGGGCAGCGGCGAGGAGTTGCTGATGTCCATGGCCTTCATGTGGCTCTCGACGACGGCCCGCAGGCCGGAGACCCACTCCTGCCTGGCCCTGGCATCGTTGGCCCGCAGTTTCACCGTGTCGCCCGAGGCGCAGGCGATGGCGAAGGTCCTGGAGTCCTCATCACTGGGGTAGACCACGGCGCCAGCCAGCTGCACCTGGCCCCTTGGAGCACTGGCCAGGACGTGGGGCGAGGGTGCGATGTCATCGCCCACCGTCGACGAGTCGCACAAGTAGTAGCTCAGCGATCCCGTCTTTGCGTCCACAGTGAACCAGCGATACTGCCAGCCTGGAAAATAGGAGCAATTAGTTATTGGCTTACATGGGTTAATAACATTAAGAGATTATGATTAATAAAAACCATTAGTATATTGGTATTTTAGCACTGTCGCTAAGCCAGCTTCTCATTTATTTTTGTATATAAGCTAAATAAATTATGGAAATATACTCTATAAATTTAATTTAAATACTTGCCAATAAAACTACCTATGTTTGGCATTTCAATGATTTGTAAATATAAATTTTTTTCAAAATCAAAAATTGGAAAAAGGTAAAGGTGAAGAGGTAAACATTTCCCGATCTTTTTTTAGGTCGAAAACATTAGAAGTTTTGCAGTGTTTCAACTACTTAGATGATCGATGGATTTATAATTCTGTTTTTTTTTTTAATAAAGATATTTAATAATGATCAGGCAGGGGTAAGCTGTATTTAAGATGAAACTTAAAGTAAAGACAATGTTTATATACAGAATTTTATATAGTTTTTAGCCAGAGATGAGTCGTACTCAAGTAGTAACTGAAGGGGAAAACAAATGTAGATTATTTAAAGTGGTTACTTAAAGTTAATCCCCCCCCCAGATGAAAACCCCTCTTACCCTTCATCACATTGGTGTATTTGCTGAGCTGGCCACTGAGTTTCAGTTTGGCCGATTCCCGGATGATCCTGTTCAGGTTGCTCTCCATTGCGACGGCGGTGTCCTTGGTAACCGGGTGCTCCTCCCGCGGAAAGTGGGTGCTCCGCGGGACAAAATTTGAGGAGCAGGCGGAATTTCCGGCAATGGGGGCGGCTGGCAGTGGGGGCGTGGCCTGCCGCGGTCGATTCTTCTTGCTGCGCTGGCGAAACGAGTTCTTGATCTTGCGTAAAATGTTTGCAGATATATTATATTTCTATAATTTATTTTACATGGAAACTCAGCAAAAGCAAAACAATGAAACAGTGTGACCCTGGATCGTGATGTATCATCCAGCTTGTTAGAGCTCTCAAGCCATCGATAGAAAAATCGATAAATATACCCAAGAAAGTACTGCTAAGGGTATTCCCTTTCCATTCCAGGGACCGAAGATAAATATACTTAAGGAATATTTTGTAATGGATATTTGTATTGAAAAAGCTACTGCAATTTTGTTATAAAATAATACAAATTTTAAGATATAAAATCTTATTGAATAAATTCAAATTAAAGACCAAAAGTTTTGGTACCCAAATAATGAATAGTAGTATTACAAAATCTACTGAAATTTTTGTAAAAGTGAATCCAATTTTAAAGATAGAAAACCTTATTGATTAAATTCAAATTAAAGACCAAAAGTCTTGTTAACTAATGGGCTTTTAAAAAAATGTAACTTTTCTATTTTGAAATTTTTTTAAATTCATTTTGACATATTAATAATTTGACAGTTACGCTGTAAATTTTATTTAAACCGGAAACCGATATCATATAGCTGCCATAGGAGCCATCGAATAATTGAGCTGCAAATCATCAGATCTTTTTATTTTTTATTTTATTATTTTATTTTTGCAATAGCTGCAAGGGTATATGAACTTCGGGTTCAAATAAGAAAATAATTGTTCAACTACGCCGCCATATAGTAAGAATTATATTTCTAGTTTGGATTAAATGAACCTGAAAAAGCGACCTGCTATTTATTTGTTGGTCGTTTTAACATACATTTTGTAGGTCCAACAAAGCCAATTCGTTACTAAAATATTAACATTGATTTATTAAGATTTATAAGACATAATTTTTAATCTGAGTCGTCGACATCGCAGTCGTAATCTAAATCGTCGACATCTGAGTCGTCGACATCTGAGTTATCGATATCTGATTTGTCGACATCTAAGCTATCGACATCTGAGCTATCGATATCTGATTTGTCAACATCTGATGTATCGACATCTGATTTGTCGACATCTGAGCTATCGACATCTGAGCTATCGATATCTGAATTGTCAACATCTGATGTATCGACATCTGATTTGTCGATATCTGAGTTATCGACATCTGAGTTGTCGACATCTACATCGTCGACATCTGAGTTATCGATATCTGAGTCGTCGACATCTGAGTCGTCGTAATCTAAATCGTCGAAATCTAAATCGTCGACATCTGAGTTTTCGAAATCAAAGTCGAAATTTGAAAAATAAAACGGATCCCACGACTTGTAGCAAACGTTCAAGAACGCCTCATCTATGTCTTGTACCTAGAAGAAAAAACTATTAGTTGCTGATAGGTTCTGCCATTTGTGTCAGACTTACATGGAATTTGGGAAAAGTGCTTACATCCAGAACCAGTTTTAGCGGTTTTTGAAGTGCAGGATCTCTTATAGATTTTAAAATAGTGTAAGCATTGCTCACAAGTTCTGAAGTCTCCATCAACATATCGCCAAAAGATAATCTGACGCATTCGAGCTTTTGACAAGATTGAAAAATCGGCAACAGACTAGTTTTATGCATTTCGAATGGATCGCTTATCCTTATGTGCAATGATTCAAGTTCAGTAAGTTGACTTAGGTCTGAGAAGTTGACAGACGTACTCTTTATGTGCAATGAATCAAGTTCAGTAAGTTGACTTAGGTCTGAGAAGTTGCCAGATGTACTCTCGTCGTTAAAAGTGAATAGTTTCTTTAGAGACTTAATTTTCGTTATCTCACAGATCTCATCAGAATTTCTAATTTGTGTATTCAGTTCTTGTAGAGTTGACTCTCTGTTGTTTGCAAAAGCCCGAAAAAGTCCACTAAGCGAGCCCTTAGCACTATCAATGTTTAGTTCTTTTAGTTTTTTTATGTCCGCCAAAACTTCTATGCCGACCTCATCGCGCAAATTGCATGCTAAGGACTCCAAAGTTTCGATTTGGGACAAATATTTACATTCATTGAAGCCAATCGGGATTTTAATCTTCAATTTTCGAAGTGCAGATTGTGGTTTGAGTACCAAGTCCCTTAAGGTATTTTCCAATTTTATTTCATTTTCGTTATAATTTTTGATTTCCAAGTGTTCTAGATTTGGCAGGCGAACTAACAGTTGTGCACATTCGGAATTGCAGAATTCAGCTTTTAATTTCTTAAGACCTTGTATCTTAGAAACTTCCGCCATTTCTGTAATTTGAAAAGATTCAAACTCAATTTTTAAACTCTGCAATCTGGCTGAACTATTTGAAGAGATCGCCGCAAATAAATTCTGTAGGGAACTCTTGCCAGTTGAACGTGATACGTGAACAACCAGTTTTTCAATACTTGAGTTAGCTAACTCGGAAAGGGCTTGTAGATCTTGCATTTCAGAAAAATAGCACTGTAGTTTTTTCAGTGACCCAATTCGGGAAAGTGCTATTAGCTCTTCGGGAACAATTTCAGTAAAATGTAAGACTTTTTGTATTACATTCTTCTCAGCCAGTTTTGTAAAAAGTTGGGCAAGATTTCCTTTTCCAAAAACACGCAACTCCTCGAGATTATTCAAGCTGGCCAGTTTCTCAATTCCAGTGCAATTTGAAAGCGAGCACACCAACTTTTTAATAGTTTTAATATCTGCCATGCTTGAGACATCTTCGAAACGTAACTTATCCATTGAGACGATAACTAGTTCCTCGATCGCACATAACTTGCTGCTGGCGAATGCCTTAAAGAGTGGATTTAGTGATCCTTTAAATGACAGGATCGTTGAGATATGCAGGCTCTTAACGTCCTTAAGTTGAGCGAGGGGTGTTAGAACGTCAATCCTACACCCATCTCCGAGTTCAATTTCCAGCTCTTTCTCATTCTTTTTCAAGGAGATGGAAAAGTCTTGGCAGCATAATGTTGCTTGTACCTTACATTTATTTAGTAGATTGGAGATTAGTTTTAAAGTACTGCGATCAAAGGAGTCGCGGGCCTTTATGACCAGGTGCTCTAGGTTGGTTAATTGATTTATATACTTAAGTAAAGAGCATTCGGAGATACGACAAGCCAGAAATCGAATCGAGCTTATTTTAGCAAGTTCTATGCAACTAAATTTGTTTATAGGATTTTTTATACTGCAGTACTTTAAAGCAAACGATCCTTTCGGGACCATGAATCGAAGAAACTTGGCAAGTGATGGAAGTCGTACCCCTTTATTATCTATAACCAACCGACTTAGATTTGGCAGCTTTGACAGGGAACCCATTTTGCTAATGTCCGACTCTTCTAGTGGCTTTAACTGAAGCTCTCCATTGGACTTGTCAAACTTAATGAACACGTTTTCATCGAACGTTATGGTTGCGAGAGATTCCTCAATTGAATTACTGCTTTTCGATATCGATTTCTCCCTTAAGTCGTACTGAACTTTAAAAATATAATCATAGGGGTGCTTAGCACTTATGTATGTGTGCAGAGATTGCAACGAGTCAAAAGTCGCAAACGTAATTTCGCCCACATGGTACTCGATTGCTAGAGTTGAAGGTTCTAGACTTTTGGGTCTGTGCCATTCTCTAAAATCATTAAAGAACTTTGAAGTGTTTTCCTGGACTCGACTGAAAGTACAAGTCTTAAGATTGGGTAGCTTAGCTAACGAGGCATATGGGGCAGCACCGAGTTCCGGGTCTGGGTAGATTTCCAGCTCCTCAAGACTTTCGCAATGCGGTGCGATTTCGGAGAGAATCCTATGAATTTTAGTGCCATCAAGTGTCAACTTCCTTAAATTTGGGTTCAGTATGCAAATGTCAGCTAATGTTTCTGCAGTAATATCTACATTTATCTCTACTTCTTCACTGTATGAGAGATTCTCTGCGAGGCCTTGAAATAAAATCAGATTATTAATATGTTGGGGTATTAATATAAACCCGACTTACCTTTAATGTCAATTCTTATGCACACATCGTTAAGAGACAATTCGACATCGAAAGGATTTTTTTCTCTTATAGATTGCTGAAGGGATATCCAGAAAGGTTCATTCCTGTGTGCTGACCTATTGACTCGCAGATCTATAAGAATCTTCGTGATTCTGCACGCAATGGCCAACTCAAGTTCCTCGTACAGAAGTTTGTGATAAGTCGCATGCGATTCCAGAAAAAACTCATGCGACAACACAAAGTTGATTAAATCATTATACTTTAGCATTCTGTCGGTTGTGAAATTCGACTTGCAATCAGCAATCACATAGTTTAAAATCTCCAGCAGGCAGTCACTGTTGAGTATAAATTCGTTACTCTCGTCCATTTTTGGGGTTGATTGGTAAAATATTTAGAGATCTCTTCACGACCAGATGATTTCCAATTTGAATTAAATATGCCGAAATATATGGAATATATAATATAGAATCGAGGATTGTATTTCGATTTTAGAAGGGCTGCATTAATATGAATATATTGAAATTGGTTTTGGTATATGTAACTCTTGCTGCTTTTTAAAAAAACACGTTATTAAATTACAATTATAATTTAAAATAACACATTTAAATTAATGAACACATGCTTATAAAAATGAGCATTTCCGACAAAGCTCTTTGAAGTAGGTTTGACTTAGTTGCTGGGGTTGTAGAAGAAAACTGAACTGATAATGTTCAAATGAACACAGATTATACACAAATGGTGTCTTAGCTTTGCAAAGCTTCGCAAACATAATGGACTAATCTCCGCTCTTGAATTCCGAAATATGCTCGACGGAGAAACATTTGGGCAATGGGGATACGGGAGCTTTTTTTATTTGAGAATATTTGTGAAACATAAATGTGTATGTTGTATTGTATTTATTGTATTTTTAAATAATAAATTCTTTGTTAAGGAATGAAATGTAATGATCTTGCTTTAATATTTGTTTAATGTTGAAGGTCCGATCGTCACGAATTTTTCCCGAATTCGGATATCCCAAAAAAAGTACTTAAATTTAAAGGTAAAGCCTTAGAAATTGTTTATGCCTTATTTATGATGTTTAATTTCTTAAAGGTTTTATGTTATAAGAAATATAAGAAAACAAACAAATTTAAAATGTGTATATATTTTGAATTTGTATTATGTTATTCAAACCATAAGCAACTGATTCACATAGCTGCTTGCTTCGACACTCTACTTTTTTTGGCGGGAAGTTCAAACTCATATTTCAAATTTGCTCTCTGAGATTGAGAGAACTCAGTATGTCTCGCTCTTTCTGTTAGTTTGATATTTTTGCTGACATTTATCTGTTAGTTCGATGTTTCGCTAACATTTTTCTGTTAGTTCGCCTTTTGCTAACATTTCTCTGTTAGTTTTACGTTTCGCTAACATTTCACTGTCAAAAACAAGCCCACCATGAGCACGCAAATTCACCGCTAGAGGTGGAGAAACATCGATAGCAACATCGATATAGCCGATGTCTTAAAAACATCGATGACATCGATGTTGTCATCTGTTTCTCCACCTCTATCGTCGCTTCGTCAAAAGAGAGAGCGAGAGAGTAATAAAACATTGAAAAGGCGATTTCGCAAAAAGAATTGTTTAAACAACAGAGAGAGCTCTTCGGAAAGTCGCCGCCGTCGAAAAATGAAAAACCCATAAATGTATGGAAATGCTTCGCAGTTTGCTCTCAACGGTAACTTATGGTTTTCCCAGCGAAAACCCAGTGGAATACAAATGCAGCGCGAGTGAAAAAAATCAATTTGGTGGCACAAGCAGTGGCAAGAAGAAGAGTCAAGACGCAGAGACTTGCGGATGATGTGATGATACAGATTATATATATATACACAAGCTATATATACATCCCTATGTGTGTGTTCATCTGTTCGGTCTGGAGTTTGTGTTATAATTAAGGCAATTAAAAGCGAAAAAAAACGTGGATTTTTGCCCAGTGTGTGTGTGTGTTTAAAAATAAGAACGAAGTTTGCTAATAAGTATGCCTGCGAGTCTTATTTAATGGTTTTAGGTTTGCTTGTGATTTATGACATTTAACGGGAGTACATATGTGTATATACCATATATGCACCCCCACCCCCTATGTGTATGTGTGTGTGTTTGTCTGTTTGTATCTCCCTCTCACTCTGACACCCACTAAAACGCGAGGGTGACTGAAGAAAAAAACTCCACTTTTCTGTTCAAAACGAAAAAAAAGAAATCAAAAGAAATTGCTTAGATATATGCAAATAATGTGCAAAATATATAATATATAACGATTGCTAATATATATCTTCACCTACCCATTCGTTTTCCATCCATGTCCACCCACACAAACAAACAAACAAACAAACCGCAACAACAAAACAACAAAAGAGTGACCATGAAAATGCCAGCGAGAAATTCGCGAAAATCAATGAATAAAAGCCAAAAAGCAACAACATCGAGCAGCGGATCATAATAATAACTAATAATACTGTTAGCCAAGTGAAATTCGAGGCTGGAATTCGTTATGCTGCAGTGCCCAGCGTTGGATTAAAAACATAATCGGGTGGAGATCCAGTGTTTAACCCTCGTGTTCGTCGTCCCGCTTAACCCCCTGTTGCCAGAATGGACGGGCAGAGGGCCAGGGATCTGCTGACCCTTTTGCAGGAACGCGTCGTCTTCTTAACCGGCGGGCGGGATCGAAGGGGCGGTCCGCTCCTCTGCTTCCCGGCCACGCCCCGTCGGGATCGACTGAAGCCGGAGGATCTGCGGCGACTCCTCAGCTACCTGATCAGCATTCCCAGGTAAGCACAATTCTAATTGACAAGTCTAAAAATAACAGCTTAGTTACTAGTTTTGGATCCCAATATTACAAGGCTTTTGGTTTTTTAGCTTGTTAAGTATAGGCTTTGAATAAGTCCTAACTAATTAGGCAGGACTCCTAATTGGAGTTTTAACATTTCAGATTAGTTAAATCACAAGTTCTTGATGCTGTAACAACAAAGTATCAATTAAATCTTATTATATTATATTATCAGCATTCCCAATTTAAAAAACTAAATTTTAACTTATATTATATTAGTAACAATAAAAAAAATGTTTTAAATTGATCAATATCGTATGACCATGTAGAAAATTAAATTGTTTTTAAAATTATTATTTTACATTCTGTTGCTAAGTAATGTATAAATAAGTGGCTGATTAAAGACGTAAACAGAGTAAAATTATGTAGTAAACCCTATGTAAAGCTCATTTTATTACGATTACTTATTGTTCAATAACTGTTACACATTGATTACGGTTCCCCGATTAGAAAGTAATAGCAATAATACTTATTAGCTAATATTTACAGATGAGAGTTTTTACTCAAAGAACATTGGGTCAGACCTTAATCTGGACTACAAACATTTAAACTATTTCAAAAATTTTAATATTTTATTTTACTATAGTTTTTATTGGATTTGACACAAGCTAGTCTACATAATCCGCTTCGTATGCATCTAGGTTTTTTATAGATATTTTTCATCACTATGACATTTTACGACCACTAAAAGAATCTAAATTCTTAGAACTTATAATGATTCACCCAAATCATGCGGCACCTAATGAAAATTTAAATTTTTCAGTTGACAGAATAGATATTTTTTTTATTAGATCACGTTTTTCTTTATAAATGCGTCCAGCCTTGTTTAGTGCAATTAAGGTTTCCCTTTAAAGTGTATTGCTTTATTTTCTTTTTATCTGAATTGAAAACGTCAAGTTTTTAGGTTTTTATACTGCAATTTTCTTTTGGCGGCACTGGTTATAAATTTCTCCAGCCTCTTGAATTTCGTATTTTTTGTACAGTGATCTCTAGTTATTGTAGCTATTGGGGTTAAAGGTCTTTCTTAAAAATAAACAAGCTCGACATATTTTTCAGCAGTAATTTCAATACATCGGTACATTGTTAGAATAGTTTGCAATTACTTAATTGCTAACAACTACAACAATTTTTCACTTTTAAATACATATTTTAAACTTTAAATTTAAATAAATAAGAAAATTAAGGATCTAATATCGCAATGAACTTAATAGTTAAATCTCTAATTCAATGTAATTAATTGTTGCACGAAGCAAGCAAAGTGCAAACTGACACAGCCGAATTCTAGAAAATCCTTAGACCTCACAACAGCAGTTTCGTGTTACTGGGGCTCACTGTACCAGCACAATGGCCATCCATTGTGTCAGCTGACGTCGCGACGTCGCTGGCTGCGCTTCGTTTGCAATTTCGGTAGAGTGGCGACGTCGTCGCCTCACCCGCACCTATATATCGTATATATATTCTGAATAGGGGGAGGATGCAGGGGGTGGGCGAGGGCGGAGGGGCGGGGGAAGCAGCTGCTGCAGCTGCAGTGCCACATTCCACTTGATTTTCCTGTTATAGTCGTCCGCCTGCAGTCGCATTTTTATGAATCATCATCGTCAGACGATTGCAAGAACAGCACGCACATTGTTCTTGCCTCGCCCTCTCTCTTCCACTCCATGTTTTGCCATCTCTTTCACCGCTGCCGTTGACATTGAATCGCAAGAGGGTGAGGTTAAAATGGGTGGCCCAAGAGGGTCAGGCGGGGCAAAAAAGTCGTAAAAGTAAATATTTTTAAATAAAAACCAGCAGCAACAAAAGTTGCATAAATCTGCGCGATAAAGAAAGCACCAAGAACCAAGAGCCAAGAAGAAGCAGCAGAAGCAGCAGAAGAAACACAGATACGACCGCATACATATGGGCAAAAACCGGGGACCGGCTTCCAAAGACTTTAAGACCCAAGCTCAAAGAATGCGAATATTTTTTGCTGCGGCTCCAAACACTAAAAAAAACCACAACAAAAACCAAAATGAGCCATGAAACAAGAAAGAAAGAAAAGAAAGGGTAATTTGGCGAACAGTGGTGCCTCGGTAATAATAAACCTGAGCGACAAACACTTTATAGATGCTAAAAGTAAAAGTTGAAAGCTATTAATCGGTTAATAGAATTGAACAATGGGTTATGGGATTTTTACTAATTCAATATCTTAAGAGTTAAGCAAGGAATCTTTAAAATTAATATAATATGTTAACAAGTTATTTTGGAAATTCCATACATTGATTTGACCTAAAAGAATTCCATTTCCGCCATATTATATTTTAAATTGTGTATGTAATTTAATGGCAGTAAAGTTTATTTCTTTAAGTCTCCAGCAATGCTTGATTTAACATTATTTAAAGTTATTTTGAAAAGAGTTTCAAGTGTGTTCAATAGATACCCTCTAAACTAACAGAATCCACGAGTGAGTGGACTCCCTCTCATGATTAGGGCATCCCCACAAACTGCTATCTCGATGTCTGCCAACGGCAACAAACTTGGAATGATAAACAGAGCCGGGAGTTGATGATGATGGCGACCCAAGATTGCGACACACGACAAGAGTATCTGATGAAAAATAGTATCTGCTGAAGAAGTAGAAAAGCGGCCAAAACAGCGACAGCCATTGAGAAAGGGAGAAACGCACGTTCCTCGCTTATTTAGTCATGCTCATTGGCGCAATCATAGGCAGATGTAGTGGGTTATTTCAGCTAAATTGAAGCGCTAACAAGTTTTCGCCAGCCATGAATCACGTGTAGGCAAATTCCCACGCCTTATCCCATTCAGTTGTTATCAGCCGGGTAACAAGCAAAGCATTGTATTATCAGTGTCCCACATTTCACTGGATCCCCCACCCAGACGCTCGAAACGAGGAACACAACACAAGTAATGGAGACACTTCAGGTTCGGCCACCGCCGATAAGCAAATCGACTCGCTGACGACGCCATCGATGTCAGAGTCCATATTCCATATTCCAAATACACAAAATGGAACTGCTGGGGTTCCCTTATCGCACCGCAGCCATCCACGGAATTTGTGGTCCGTTCTGGCAGTCTGCCCACTGTGCTCTTGCTTTATCCGCTGATTTTCCTTCTTTCGGGTTCTCTTGCCGCTGGCTGACTTAGTTTTGATTTTTAAAAAACATACCCTAACATGAAGTTTTTAAACTAGGAGCTACTCAGAGAAAAAGGATGGTAAAAACATTTTAAAAATTAAAACAAAGCATTTTAGAAGCACTAAATAAAAATAAATTGGTATGAAGCGTTTTACCTTTTAAAATGTTTCAACCCTGATGGTGCACCTAAAACTTGGGCAGATTTTTTTCTGTGTAGCAATTACAGAAAATTAAGACAAAAATAAATTAATTGGACACAACTCATACATATATATTTTCAACATTCTTTTTATATAAGTTAAAACATAAAAAATTTTAATTCCAAATAATTACAACATAATTTAAATCAATCTAAGAACCAAGTATTTTTTTCGAACTTTTTTTTATGAAATTAGTTAAATTAGTTAAAACCTTAAAATTACAAAGGTTATTATTGTGAACAAAAATTATAATACAAAATTGTAATTCCAAATTATTACACTTTAATTTAAATCAATTTCAAACAAAGCATTAACATTTTTTATAGAATTAATAATTTTTTATATTTTAAATATCCTTTTTTTAAAATTGATCAACGTTATGCTATCAAACATTCCAGGGTATTCCAAACTGCGATCCCAAAAGATTAATTTTCTTTTTTGTTTTGCTTTGCCAGCGTTTATGTTTCGCTTTTGTTTCTGTTTATTTGCTTTGGCGTGAAACACTTTTTGTTTATTTCTGCGCCTGTTTGTGCCTTTGTCTCTCGGTTCCCGAGACTCGGCCAAATTGGCAACTGAAGTCAAGGCGTCTTCTCACTGCTGTCGTCAATGCAAATTCTGTGAATCGAGTGAATCGAGGGAGTTCTCAGCATTTTAGACACGTACATTCCCTGGACTTCCTTTGGGGGTATTACTCCAGCCCCACTCCCTGAATAAACCCTCGGATTTATGGGTTAAATAAACGATTTTTGATTGGACTTTGTGCCTGGTTTTTGGTCGATTTTTAAATGCGGGCGGCGACACTTTTTCCTGTCTCTCTTTCACGGATTTAATTTCGATTTTTAATAGCCCGTTTCGAGGGTTTTTATTAGTCATCAAAAAAGTTGCCCATGCCTCTTCAGACAAATACACAAATTTTCAGATATGTCACACGATAAGAAGTTGTGGGAGGGTTTGAGAACTTGCATGAGACTTAACCATTCGGAACACCAAAGTTCTGGGTTCCCAAAGACATTCGTGTTGGGAGGGAAACAACTTGGTTGGATTTAAAATGCATTTGGGAAGACGCCTCTTCACTTTTCGCATTGTTCTTTGGGGGCTCAAACCCCTAGAAATGCCCATCAAGCCACCGCACGATATGTGTATATATGTACATCTAAACACGAGAAGATAACGTGGTTAAAACCGGGAACTGAGAAACCAGAACCGGCCACAATCGGGCCAAGAAATAGCGGCAAAACAGAGGGAATAATAGGAATAATAGGCGGAATCGAAGGAGGCGGAGTTGCGCATACATCAATGAAAGAAATATTTATAGTTAATGGAGCGATTAAAATTCAAAAGGAATGCAAATCAGAGCGTTGGGCGGCCTCTTGGGGGGAGGGATGTGAGGTGTGTAGGAAATTATTAGCTGAAATTGGTGTCAGAGCAATAGAAACCGACCTCAGACCATACGAAGCCGTGCGGTCATAATTTATGCAAGCGACGTAAACAGAGCAACGAACCATGAGCGATTCACGACACTCTCACTCACGTACTTCAGGGAAGACGCTGCACTCGGGGAAATATAGAAAACTTTGGAATAGGATCACCAAAATAAAAATTAACAATGTCATCACCAAAGAAAACTTATAAATAGAAAGCACAAAATCTCAAACCAGATATAAACCTTTGGTATAGCTTTAAAATACCAGAACCTTTCAATAAGATACCCCAAAAACGGTCTTAAATGCATTAAATAAGTAAATAAGAAAAGTTACTTTCAACTTTTCTTCCACATATAATTCATAAGCTTAATTTATTTTCCAGATTTTTATTGGATTAAAAGAACCACAAAACTTATAATATATCTTTAAGAAAATATAAAAGCAATTAAGATGACTAAAGATACTTTTTATTATTTATGTGTTAGTAACCATAATGGGCTTGAAATTATTGATTATTTAAAATAATTATAATAAATAGTACCTAAAGTTAGACATAAATATTAAATTAAAAAATGAAGGACATTTTTATGAGTTCTCTTTTAGAATACTTAAATTATTTATTATAAATATTTAGAAAATAGCAGTATAGCATAGTATATTAGTATAAATAGCTGCCCAAATTAGGCAATATTTTCCCCCAGTGTACGCTCACCATTTCAACAGTTCTCTTCCGATCGCTCTCTCTAACCACAAACATACCTTTCACCTGGCTTACTTTGCAGCGACGCCGCCAAGAACCTCGGATTCACAGTCATCATTGACATGCGCGGCAATGGCAACTGCTCGACCAACGTGAAGACGATACTGAAGGTGCTGCAGGAACACTTTAGCGCCAATATCCACAACGTGGTGATCATAAAGCCGGACAATTTCTGGCAAAAGCAGCGTGCCTCGATCTCCTCGCACAAGTACAAGTTCGAGACGACGACGGTGTCGATAGAGTCGCTCAATAAAATAGCGGAAAGTCATCAATTAACCGGCGATTTTGAGGGCCAACAGCTGTACGATCACCAGCAGTGGACGGATGCCCGGCTGGCCATCGAGGATTTCTTCTGGCAGGCCGGAGACATGGCCGATCGGATCGACGATCTGCAGGAGGACCTCAATCGCAACGACTTTGCCGAGGACGTAGCGCTGGCCCAGCACGCCATCGAGCATCACAAAGAGATGCGCAAGAAGATCACAAAGCTGCCCATCGAGGACCTCGACATGCAGGGCAAGAAGCTGCTGGCCAAGATCAACGCGGTGGCACCGCCAGGCGGTCAGGTGAGAAAACCATTCTAAGGATTCTTTTCAAGAAGTCGTTATTAAAGTTTTAATGAAACCGAGTTTGAGTTCCACAGGCTAAAAAGTACTTTAAAATAGGGGAATAAGTTTGTTTTTAAAAAACAATAGAATAGGTCTATCAAATTAAAAAAAAAAACAATTTTTTTTTTCTTATTGCTTCTATTAATACAACTATTTTGTTGTAAACCAGTAGGTGATAAATCTCAGAATTGTTAAGCGATTAACAAAGAACTTCTGCTCTTTGTTGAAATCTACATGCTGACTTTTTTGGTCTACCACTTCTTCTGTAAATACAAAATGTAAACAAATAAAAAGTGTTTTAAGTTTTTTATATGTATGGCCATAATAAACATTCAATAAATTAACAGAAAAAGTCAATAGCCTTTGGTCTAGCGTTCACTTTGCCGAAATGTATGCCAAAATACATTTCTGGTTTTATTTTATGCAAATGAGTTGTTTTGTCTGTCGTCAGGTGGGCAGAAATGTAATTAAATTAATGCTATATAATGAATAATTCAATCATTAATTGGAGAACAATAAAACAAAGTGATACATTTTCTATTGATAAATATTTATTTTATTTCACATGGTTGCTCTATTAAAATGTGAAGCTTAAAAAATATAAAACCAATAGATTTATTTCGATTTTCTAATGAATTTAAACTGAAACTCTTAAATTAAAGCTGTTTTTTACGAATTCCTTGATATTTATTTACCTTTGAGCACATTTTTCTAATCCGGATTATCGTTTTTAGCCCCCAGCCGGTTCCGGAGGTTCGGATATGGACTCGGGCACTTCCTCCGCCGGCCAGCAATCTCAGCCGTCGCAGCAATCGCGTTCGGTGAGCGGCAATCCGGACATGTCGGCTGCCGTGAACAAAGCCCTGCGGCAGATCGACCTCATCCACACGGGTCAGGAGAAGCTGCTGATGCTGTGGCAGCACAAGAAGGTGAAACTCGACCAGTGCTTCCAGTGGCGCCTGTTCGAACAGGACTGCGAGAAGATGTTCGACTGGATCCTGCACAACCGCGATGTGTTCCAGATGAGCTACGTGGAGATTGGCCACAATTACTCGGTGGCCAAGTCTCTGCAGGATGAGCACCAGAAGTTTGCCGTGGCCTCGATGAACGTGTCCGTGAATATCGATCGGATTTTGGCGGTGGCAGCTCGACTCATCGAAAATCAGCACTATGCAGCGCAGCATATTAAGACGCTGGCTCAGCGATTGGACCGCACCTGGAAGGACTTTGCAGCGGGCCTGGATGAGCGAACTGCTGTCCTGCAACTTAGTGTTCTGTTCCACCACAAGGCGGAGCAGTATTGCAACAGCGTGGCCAGCTGGGCAGCCGCTTGTCAGGCCTCCCAGCCTCTGCCCTCGGATATCCAGAGCCTGGAAACGGCCATCCGGACACACCAATCGCTGTACGAGGCCATGTGCCAGGCCTACACGGAGGTTCACTCGACCAGCAAGAAGCTGCTCTATCAGTTAGACCACCTGGTGCAGGTCTGCAATCAACCGCCGCCGCCGGGCGTACCCGATCATCGAAAGAATGGTAACGGTGGCAGTTTTAACAAGTACGAGCGACAGAATCCGGCAGCGGATTACAGCGAAGGCGCCAGTCATGTGCTGGCTGTGATTCACCAGATTCTGGGACACCATCGCACCCTGGAGGCCAAGTGGCATCAGGAAAGGTTGCGACTGCATCAGACCCTAGCTCTAAGGCTCTTCCAAGAGGATGTGAAGCAGGTCCTGGATTGGCTGAAAAACCATGGCGAAGTTTTCCTGAGAAAAAACACGGGTATAGGCAGAAATTTCCACAAGGCCAGGGTGTATCAGACCTCGCACGATAACTTCGAGAATGTAGCGCAAAACACGTATAGTAATGCCCAGAAATTGTTGGCAGCTGCCGACGAACTGGCCCGCAATGGCGAAGCCGATCCCAATGAGATATATTCTGTGGCCAGGGAGCTGGAAATGCAGGTGGGCAGCTTTGCGGAGCGGGTGGAGCAGAGGAGGCGCCGCCTGGAGATGGCTGTTATTTTCTATACACATGAAAAGGATGTGACCGCCTGGATAGACAAGCTGCGGACGGATGTGAGCACGGATGAGACGCGTCTCTCGCAGGAGAACCTCGAGGGCATTGAACGCATATTGCAGCAGTATCAGAGGGATCAGCAGGAGAGCTCCGTGAATGTGTGCCTGACCACCATTGCCCAAGGCGAAGCTCTGCTGCAGGAGATGCGATCCCTGGAGTATGCCGACAATACGGGTTCCATTGCCGCTCTGGAGGCCACCCTCGAGAAGTTGAGCAAACAGAAACTGGAGCTGGAGGAGCTCTGGTCCGCCCGAAAGTTCCGCGCCGATCTCATCCTGCGTTTGCGCTATTTCGAGCGGGACGCCATGGAGCTGTCCTCGCAGCTGGAGATCTGGTCCGAGGAACTGCAGCATGCCGATCTGTCGCGGGACTACAAGAAGGCCGAACAGCTCATACGCATGCACAACGAATCGGTGACGGACATACAGAATAACACCTACGAGGTACTGCAGCAGGGTCAGGACCTGCTGCAGCTCTTCGAAAACGCTGGCTTCATCTCCATGGCGGATGCCACGCACACGGCTCAGGCTAGGATTGAGTATCTGCTGGACTTCTTGCGGGAAAGGGAGATCGATCTGGAGGAGATGTCCGAGGCGAAGCGGGCCAAGCTCGAGCAAGCGGTGCAGCTGTGTCAATTCCAGAACGATGCCAACCAGGTGATTTCGTGGATCCGCAATGGAGAGGCCATGCTGATAGCCAGCTTCGTCACGCCGAACAGTTTGCAGGAGGCGGAGCAGCTGCGCAAGGGACATGAGCAGTTCCAGGTTAGGATACACATAAATAATTCTCGGGGACCGCAAATCATAGTTATGATTTCAAACAAATTGAATTGCCCCAAAAAACTTTCTTTCAAAGCGATTTCGAAAACAATACAAAATTTAATTTTTAATAATTAAATCATTTTTAATTTTTAAAAATTACTTAACTAATTAAAATTTAAAAGATTTATTTAATTTTATTTTGTATTTTCATTTTCAATAATAAAAATTGATTTATAACTTTTATTTTAAATTTTTATAATACAAATTAAAACTTGAAGTTATAGATCAAACTTAAAACTTAAAAATTAAATTTTTATTATAAAAATTGAAAACAAAAATAGAATATCTAAAAAAAAATGATATATAGAAATGGAAATTTTTTTTTGATTTTTATTATTTAAATCAATTTTAATAAGTAAAAATGATTAAAAAAATGAAAAGAATAATTTTCATTTAATTTCATAATAAAAATTAAAATTGTTACAGTCCCTGATAAAACTTTATTCATTTTAGATTGCCATTGAAAAGACGCACACTTCGGCGGTGCAGGTGAAGTACCGAGCGGATGCCCTGATCAATGCCAACCACTACGATCCGCAGTCCATAAGGGAGATCAGCGACGATGTGACGAAGAAGTGGCAGCAGCTGGTGACCTACGCAGAGGAACGCCACAAACTGGTGACCGCCTCCATAAACTTCTACAAGACGGCCGAGCAGGTGTGCTCCGTGTTGGACAGCTTGGAGCGGGAGTACAAGCGCGAGGATGACTGGTGTGGCGGTGGTGGCGGCAGCGACAAGGCCCAGACCATCGTCCAGCTGATCTCGAAGCATCAGGAGCAGAAGGAGGCCTTCCTCAAGGCCTGCACCTTGGCGCGTCGCACGGCGGAGACCTTCCTCAAGTATGCCAACCGATCGCAGCAGTGCTATCAGTACAAGGGAAACTGTGAGGCCCATGTGAAGAGCAAACTGGACAAGCTATTGACTCAGGAGAATCAAGTGCTCGACTACTGGACGCTGCGCAAGAAATCGCTGGATCAGTGTCAGCAGTTTGTGCTCTTCGAGAGGAGTGCCAAGCAGGCAATCGAGTGGATTCACAATACGGGAGAGGCATACCTCTCCTCGCGATCCAATTTGGTGGGCATAAGCAAGGAGGAAACGGAGGGATTGCTCAAGGAGCACAACGAATTCCGGAGCACTGCCAAGGAGACGCGTGAGAGGGTTAAGCTGCTGATCCAACTGGCCGATAGCCTGGTGGAGAAGGGTCATGCCCATGCCAGCGATATCAAGCAATGGGTGGCCTCGGTGGATCAGCGATACAAGGATTTCAGCAACCGCATGGACAGCTACTGCGAGCAGTTGGAGAAATCGCTGGGCATGTCCCAGCAGCAGTTACTTTTGGCCTCCGATGGCAACAGCTCGATGAGTTCCTCCTCGGGCGTCAGCAGCGGCGATCGCCACTCGGATCCCACGCTGGAGGCCAAGCTGAACAGCAGCAACAAGGAGTGCAAGGAAATCAACGAGGAGAAGCGCAAGTCGGCGCGAAGGAAAGAGTTCATCATGGCGGAACTGATGCAAACGGAACGGGCCTATGTCAATGACCTGGCCACCTGCATCAAGTGCTTCCTGGAGGAGTTCAGGGCGGGTAGAAATGTGCCGCCCGCACTCATTGGCCAGGAAGATGTGATATTTGGCAATATCAGGGAAATACACCACTTCCATCAGAAGATTTTCCTGCGAGAGCTAGAGAAGTACGAGACAATGCCGGAGGATGTGGGCCATTGCTTTGTGACCTGGGCCTCCAAGTTCGACATGTATGTGCACTACTGCAAGAACAAGCCGACATCGAATAATCTGCTGGTCCAGCACGGCGGCAGCTTCTTTGAGGAGCTGCAGCGACGCCTGGAGGTGGATCACCCGCTGCCCGCCTATCTCATCAAACCGGTGCAGCGGATCACCAAATACCAGCTGTTACTTAAGGATCTGCTCTCCTGCTGCGAGGAGAGCCATGGCGAGATCAAGGAGGGCCTCGAGGTAATGCTCAATGTTCCCAAGAAGGCCAACGATGCCATGCATCTGTCGCTGCTGGAAAACTGTGATGTGTCCGTGGACAAACTGGGCGAAGTGGTGCTGCAGGATGCCTTCCAAGCCTGGGACACGAAGCAAATCATCCGCAAGGGCCGGGAGCGGCGTGTGTTCCTGTTCGAGATGTATCTGCTGTTCGCCAAGGAGGTCAAGGATTACAGCGTAGTCAAGTACCAGTTCAAAAGCAAGCTGATGACCACTGACATGGGCATCACGGAGCACATCGAAGGCGATGAGACCAAGTTTGCCGTGTGGACGGGTCGTTCACCCATGCTCTCGGATTGCAGGATCGTTTTGAAGGCAACGAGCTTGGAAACCAAGCAGGTTAGTTGTTTGTTGCCTTGCACAACAATGAGTTGCTTTTAATGAGTTTATTCATTTTCAGATCTGGGTGAAGAAGCTGCGCGAAGTGATGCAGGAGACGTGCTTCTCGGGCACCTCGTTGACCCTGCCCAAGTCACCAGCCAAACATTCGGGCTCCTCGCAAAGATCCTCTCGGGATTTGGACGAACAGCTCACAGAGAACGATCATGATCGCTGCTCTCTGGCTAGTTTCGGTTCGGGTAATACCACAGATAGTGATAATAAGGTAAGTTTCAAAGAGATTTTCCTTTAAGCGGAACTATTGAACCTAATTATTCGAAAATATTATATAATTTCAACTGAATTAAGTGGCAAACTTATATAATTTGTTTATAGAATGTATACACATTCCAACAATTTAAACTTCTAAGCAAGTTCACAAGTACTTTTAAAGTTTACGAGTATTAGTAAAGGAGCAAACTTGATTTAATCAGTGTTCCCATATTTTGTTTGACAGCTCTCTTCTTAATCACTTTCCCACTAAGTTTCAAAAATCACATTGAAAATATTAAACATATTATATTATGGGCAAGTGTGTATATTTTACTTAAGCTTTAAAACAAGTTCTTAAGGGTTTTTAAAATATATGAGTATTATTATTATTTTGTTTGTCTTCTCTTTTCTTACTGACTCTATCCCCTAAGATTTTAAAAATATTAGAAAATATAAGCATACCTAATGAAACTTATAAAAAATATTACACAACTTATTAATGGGCAAATGTTTATATTTTGTTTACAATATTTATGTATTCCTAAAACGCAACCTTTAAAATAGATTGTACTTGTTAAAGTACTTTTCAAATATATATGAGTAAAAGGAACATTTTTTTTGTATTCAAACGGTTGGTAGTTTTTAAAAAGTATTCCCTTTATTTTGTTTGTTTTCTCTCCTCTAACTGACTTTTCCCACTATTTTCGAGGCAGCTTTAAGCTTCCGAATCAACTTTCCCCTTGGTCCTACCCCACATGGAAACAGCTTGCACCCTCATCCCCAACCACCAACACATCCATCTCTCTCCAGATTTGTGGATGCTGCTGCCGCTGCCATTGGCCAGCTGAACTAGTTTTCCCACTCGCCAGGACTCGGCTCCTTTCGGTTCGGGGTCCTGCTTCATGTTTAAAATTCATAGCAGGGCTTAATGAGATTTTCCTCGCTGCTGCGTGGAAGTCTTCAAGACTCGGCGCTCAAGACCGCTGGCTGTCGGCACTTCCCAGCAGCAGCAGCAGCAGCAGCAGTATTCTGTATCCGCACACGGATGAATTGGATCCCTGCTCTAGGTCGAGTGTGTGCTGGATTATATATGACTGCTTTTAGCGCTCTTTCGTTACATTTGCTTAATGTAAATTTTATGTGACACTTCTTTATAGTTAGGTCTGCTGTCTGCTACCCGCGTCGTCGAACTGTCAACGGCCAGCATTTTCGACATTCCCCACCAGATTTTGCTACTAAGGCTAAGCAGCGCAGATTTCGAGCGGTTTTACGACCACATAACCGTTTGTCTTATGTGCAGTAGGTTGACGAGGTTAAGAGTTTCACTCTCTCTTAGTTTTTTATGCCTTTCTAACCAACAACTATTTTCAGTGTTTATTTGGTCTTAATTATATTATATGGTTGCCATACGATAGCAACAAACCCGGTAAAATAGTGAAAAGCTTTATAAAATAGTTACTTTATGTCCTATAGACAATGTCTTGTCTTGAAAATAATTATATTAAATTGAAATAGATTCAGGTAGATTAGTTTAAATATTTAGTCCTGAAACTTTTGGTATTGGTGATTAGATTAGAGAAAAGTAAAGTGGAAAATAATATATGTATAGAGTCATTAAATTTATTAAATAAATAATCATCATGAGTATTTAATATTAAAGGTAGATTGACTTAAAATTCAATTCGTCTATTAATATTTTTCTGAATTTCCTTATATGGTATCATGGTTATAACTGAATTCACATAGTGTGCTTGACTTCAACTTTTTAGGTTACCAATTTCGTACTTTGTTCTTTGATTGTTTTTATTTTATTTATTTAATTATTGTGCCCACAAATAGTTTTTTTTGTATACTTAATAAATCAAAAATAATTTTCTGTTAAATAAACAAACACATTTCATTGGGAAAACCGAAATTCCCGCCCATCTGAAAGCCCAAAGACCCCAACAATAACAAACTGAGAGAGTGAAAGCTCTGTGCCGAAGCATTCTCTGAGTATCCGAAAAAAGCTTTTGAGTTTTCCTTTTGCCAATTTGAACCCCCCTTGTGGGTAGTGGGTTAAGGCAATTGCTGTTGCGAATGTTTTCGGTGCGTTCGTCGCTGCGTGAGCTCGTGGATTTATATGCGGATTCGTGGATTCGTGAGTTCGTTTGGGGCAGCTGCTCCAGTTGCTCCGCAGAGTTTCAGCCAAGAGGTTCGTTCGCTCACCGCCGGGTTTACTCGGGTTTTCCTCAGTTTTCCTCTCGGATTTTCCATCGCCTGCTGCCTGCAGATGCGCGCCGCCCGGCCAAAAAACGCCAAACGCAGCAGTAGCAGCAGCAATCTCCTCTCCTCTGCTCTGAAACTGCACTTATATTCTCCTTTTCTTTGAGTGAGCGGACTTCAGAGGAGCCGTAACGCATACATCAGTCAACGTACACAATTTGTATGAGGAAAAACAACCACTTTCGGGTGTCAAGTGATTGAAAATCGCCCATAATCACAATGATAAGAACAACCATGATAGCACCGCACTATAAAGATAAAGATTCAACCGCATTCTCCCCTTCAAAAAGTAAAAGAAAGTCAGCTGCTTGACAAAACAACAAACAATAATAGTACCGCAAATGCCCCAGAAAATTACAAACAATACTTAAAAACAAAGAAGATTACATAAATGACAGCCTCCTGTTTGGGCCTTAAACTGTCTACAAAAAACAAAAATGGCTTGTAAACAAAGACCTGGCTTATATAAATAACTAGAAACAAAAAAGTGAAACAACAATCCGAGTAATGCAAATAAATATGATAAAAAGCTGTTTCTGCTGCCGAAAACTACACAAGAGTGCGGGAGGGAACCCTTTTTAGCATTTTTGCGAGGGCAACAAAAATGAGCTGAGGATGAAAATATCTGCAGCAGACGCAGGCGAAAAGCCTCCCGTCCACCCACTTTTCCGTCGCTGCTGCCTTTGACCTTTTTCACGCCTTTAGTCACTTGAGTAGCAGTTTCATTCCCCCCATTTAGACGTTTCGTTGCCCCCAAAAAAGCCCTCGAGTACTGCTGTCAACTGCAAAGCGATCGCACTGTGACTATGCAGCAATTGTGAGTGTGAGCCATCAACAGCAGCACATCTTTTAGGTAGCACACCTTAAGATATGTTTTTTCGGGGGATATAAGTTTTCAATTCATGACACAAGTGCTTAAGTTATTATAACTCAAGTTGTATAGATTCATTTTGTTTTTACACTTACTTATCAGTCAGTTTTTTGTGGGTTTATAATGAATGTTTGACTTTTTTTAATATCTCACACTTTTTTAAACATGTAATATAGACTAGAGATATTAAAAGTAAAATAACTCACAAAATTATTGCTTTAAAAAGGGTAGATCTACAAATTATAGTACAACAAATTGAAATTGTTGATGATTAACTATTCAAATATTTCCTTTATTGACTTGCTTGTTTCTAAAATGCACATGCACACACAATACAATAGGTTTAATAGCCCTTTATAGAAATCGTATGATGCTGATTAAATTTTCCAACACCCTAAGAAATATATTTTAACAGCATTCAAAAGTTTGCCCTTTGTGTTTGTCTTTTGTCTTTACTTTTTTGAGCTTTGTGTGCATGTTTTGTTTTAGGAGATCTTTTTTAGATGCATTTTGGGTTTTCGTTTTCATCGCAATTCCCCAATTACATCTTGTGCCCTTTCTCATAGAGGGTATCTGATGGCTAACGCCATTCTAAAGTGCCCGAATTGGCCATTTAAAGGGGCGTCGACTCACCCAAGTTGGAGCCATTAATTTCACGCTTATCTATTGCATTTTAATATTTATTTCAACGCGATAGGGTTGCGGTTCCGTTGTTTGGCTAATGCGGTTTCTTCCCGTGTGTGTGTAGTGTAATGTGGGTATTTCGTTTTTTGTTTTTTTTCAGTATTGCGGCTGATGTAGACACGACATGTTTTGGTCATTATAATTATCGAGTCGATGCATTGCAATTTAATTTGAGTGCCAGTTGGGTGGATTGCAAACAGCGGGAGGGAGCGAGTGCAATGTCCAACCTTGTTCCCTTTCCTATATATCCATCAGTTGTCACTGGCAGTCCTTGTTAGTTTTGTCTCCCTTCTGCCCACTTTCATAATGGACCCAGCCCATTGCCAAAGGCCAGTTTGTTGGCCTAATCTAATCCAATTTGCAGCCGGAAGCAATTAAAACAGCATACGAACAGCACAAAAATGGGGAACTGTGGTCGATGAAAATCGCTTAGTAAACCCAACAAAAGTGAACAAAGGGAAACACATTTTCAATGCTGACAAAAAACATTTTCTGAACTTCAGTGGGATGATTTTTTCTGCGCAAAGAGAGTTTTTCCCTGCATTTTTTTAAACCCTTCAGGAAAGTAAGTAAAAGTTTCAAAGCTTGTTCTAAGTTTTGCAGGCAGGATTCAATTAGTTTTGTGTAAGTCTCTAGAGGTTTGAGAAAGAGTTTAATGGGAAAGCACTCTTTTGCAAGTGACAAGCATTATGAGATAATGATGTCGAACTTATTGAATAAACTTCAAATTTAGTTTTTTTCTTTAAACACTTGTTGTCGTTTGATTTTAGCTATTTTGTTTTTTATTTATAAACTAAAAACCAAACTGAAATGCGGAGACGGAGCTTTTCCCCTTTTATTTTTATACCATTACGGCAGTGTGCCAAAGTTGCTAAGCTTACTTTAAGTTTCCTAGACGCGAGATTAAATTAAATTAGTTTGAAATCTGAGCGTTGCTCTAACAACTCACCAACTCTCCCACTTTCCCCACTGTGTGCATTCATTTGCAAAAATTGAATTAGGTTGGCTTTTTGAGTGAATGAAAAGAAAGTATTAGGAGAAAAATGGTGTAAGCAAGGAAAATGGAAAATATTTCTGGCATTTTGTCAACGCCACAAAATGTCAACGAGTCCTTACAGTGGGTGTAAATGTAAATACACACACCCTGGCCCCTGGAAAGTAGAAAAGTTTTTTAATGCCATTCGCGTCTCAGA